TGTCATCATCTCAGTCATCATCTCTGTCATCTGTCAGGGTCACTTCTGGTCATGGCACCAGGGATTGCTGGGAGATATAGTCTTATATACGCATTTCCGGTCACAGACTCAAGGGACTCTGGGATTTGTAGTCCTGTCATTGTCTCTGTCATCAACTCTGTCATCATCTCTGTCATCTGACAGGTTCACTTTGGGTCACAGCACAAGGAAATGCTGGGAGATGTAGTCTAGATACCCAGTACTGGTCACAGACACAAAGGACTCTGGGAATTGTAGTCCTCTCATTGTCTCTGTCATTGTCTCTGTCATCAGGATCACTTCTGGTCACGGCGCCAGGGAATGTCGGGAGATGTAGACTTAGATACCCACTACGTGTCAGAGACACAAAGAACTCTAGGACTTAGAGTCCTGTTATTGTCTCTGTCATCATCTCAGTCATCATCTCTGTCATCTCAGGGTAACTTCTGGTCAAGACATCATGGAATGCTGGTAGATGTAGTCTTTATTACCCACCTCTGGTCATAGACACAAAGGATTCTGAACCAGTAGTCTGTAACATGAGGCCAACCTTGTCTGTAACAGGTTTCTGTTTCACCCGGTACCCCACAACCGGCAAACCCCAAAGAAAATCACACACAGGATTCCATAAGGTTATAAACTGATTGGCCCATTAAGTCAGGCTTCTTGTTAACTCTTATAACTTATGTTACCCCATTATTCTCATTTACATTAGCCACATGGCTCCGTACCTTTCTCAGCTGGGCAAGTTACATGCTGCCTCTTCAGTGGTCTGCACAGGAGTGGCTGAGGAATCTCACTGCTTCCCAGAATTCTCCTGTTCTCATTGCATCACCTCTACTTCCTGTCTGGTTTTCCTGCCTATACTGCCTGCCTGGCCAATCAGCGTTTTATTAAAATATGATTGACAGAATGCAGACAATTCTCCCGCATCATTTCCCTCTTTTTTTTTAAACAAAGGAAAATACCCATAGTCCATTTGTTGGGAATGTGGGCGTAGTATTTCAGGCTACTTCCTGCTGGTTGGGGGTGCTGATAATCTTATGGAGACCTAAAGAAAATTTAGAGTTACAATCAAGTCCTGACTGAAGTATCCTGTGAGTCTTGATCATCTCAGGCAGCAGTTTTGAATCTGTTCTGGATGTAGAACTCAGACATCTGGGCCATCTGTTCCTGTTGGAGATTTCTCAGGTGGTCTCCCTTGATGGAACCTGATTTTTCTTAACTCAGAATGAATCTACAGCTTCTCATTTTCTGTGGAAACAAAAGCAAAATCTCTACTCCAAAGTAACATACCTTTTGACTTCAATTTTGAAGCCAAGGTATTTTCAAAGTACCTATCTTGGATTAATTCTGCAGCATTTATAAGCAAATATGTTTTAGCAGCTGTTGCTACTTCCTCAGCAATCAAACAATTCAAAGAGAGCATAATAACATACAGTATCAAGATTCTCTGTGTATTTTCCATCTTTGTGCATCTTTACTTTAACCTCTATTTCTTTTATTTTTACTTTTACTTTTTGAGACAGGTTCTCTGTATATCTTTGTCCTGAAATAAGACTGTAGACCAGGCTGTCCTTGAACTCACAGAGATCTATCTGTCTCTGCCTCCCAGGCATTGGGATTAAAGGCATGTGCTACCACACCTTGAAGTCACAGAGGTCAATCTCTACCTCTGTCCCTTGAAGTCACAGAGGTCAATATGCCTCTGCCTCTCAGGCATTGGGATTAAAGGTGTGTACCAGCACACCCGATATCTCCCTTTCTTCTTTTTTTATTTTTAATGACTAACCTTTTAGCCTACATATATTTTTAACACACTGCAAACCATTTAGAGGTTTTCTTCATCTTTGAATCTCTCTTTACTGCATATCTCTCTTTTTCTAACCACGTGAGTCTTTAATTTACTAAGCAATATGGAGAGCCGTGGCTTTGATGGCTAGATCCAGTCCATTCCTTAGCTTTCCAGCCTCATGTCTGAGATACCAGCCAGAGCTGCAGTTCACTGCCACAATTCTATGGCGTTTCAAGGTCCTTGCTAGCAAGCAAGCTGTAGTATTCTGCTCACAGACCACACTCAGTCGACTGCCTGCCTGAAAGAGACAGAATTTGCCCTGGCAAGACGGCCCAGAAAGCCAGCATTTTAAAATGGTGCAGCTTTTTTCCTGCAGTGGCTGAAAACTGAAAAGCATGCGTTCAGCTTTTCAACACCATTTAAGTGTTTCGTGGCAGGACCTCTTTAAAGAGCTGCAAGGTTTTGCAACTAAAGCTGA